ATATATATAATCCATTAATCACTTTAATCCCACACGTACGAATAGACAAAACACTCTCATCACTTGTCGTGATACTACCCAAATGGGTTACAAATTAACCTTTTCCGTTTGCTAGATTTAGTACTTGTTGCATCGACCGACAAGATATATAGTTGGATCTTGATGATGGGCTTTTTTTAGATCATATATTTACGGCCAAGCAATGGGGTGGGATGTTGTAGCGTTTTGCAGCAGAAAGCAAAAAGTAACTGCATTAACCGGGCCATTTTTTCCTCTTGTGCTATGGTTCTTTTTGAGAAAGAACTTCTTTCTAGCATATTATACTAATCCTAATTGAATGAATTAGTTAATTATGAGATATTAGTTTGCTTTGTGATCTCTCTTTACACTAAGACATTTTATTATAAATAAAATAAACTAATTTCTTATCAGGTAACTAGAAGTATAGAATCATTAATGTATTAAGTACGAAAAAAAGTTGATATAAAGATCCAACGCTTGACATACTGGTAGGTCAAATTTTTCTAACCGTTAAATCTGCATACTTTTTAATTTTTACGTGATTTTATATAGATCTAACGGACAGAAATAATCTACCGATATATTAGCGTACCAGAGAATGTCTTTCTTTTCATAGACATATTTTTATGTTCCTCTTTTGTACACAAACCTTTCGGAAAGCTAGGAAGAGACTATACACACCATTGAATAAAGAAACGCTAAGCAATTTCTTTAAAATGGTAAACTTGCATATTTTTGTTAGGAAAAAAAAAAAGCAAATATATTTGCATAACCCTTTTGCTAAAAAAGGAAAATAAAACTTGCATCGTCTTTCGGAATGCCTAGATAAGTCCCCTTATAAAAATAATGCTTAAATGAGAATTAATAAATGTGGCAGTATGGACAAAGTGAGTCAGTGACATTTACTCAGATATATAGTAAAACTACGTGTATCACCGTTTTTTTTATTTGTTTAATCAACCAATAATTTTTAGTTATTTTCTATAATGCAGAATATTAAGTACTTTGGGTAGAGGGAAAAAAAAGTTGTATCTATTTAAACAAATATGCTATGTACTTGAGAGTAGAGAAGTAGTTCGGGCTGACAAAATGTGCTTTGTAAAAATAACTCAATAGAAAAATTTTATTAGTAAAATAATTTTTAAAAAATTTTTATTTATAAAATGACAATTTTTTACAAAAAATGATTAGATGGTCATTTTTTATAAAAAATGAAAAAAGTTATTTTGTTAATTTTACTTTGTTAAATAGTCATTCTAGCATATTATTCGCTGACAAACAAACAAAATAGCTCATCGATGAGGACGTTGAATTTAAAATCATAATTTTTTTTTTTTTTTTTTTTTTTTCAGTTCAGAACAAGAGCATATGGATGTGAATTCTATAGTCAAAAGAATCTGATTATTCTCTGTTCAGTACGTAGCCAGCTAGATATCTCTGCATTTCATCCATTAGTAACTAATAGTTTTATCCACAAGAAAATAATAATTGAATGTTTTATTTATTATGGGACACCATGAACCTCGGCCTTTGAGTTATGCTATATTTTTATATTGGGGCATTTTAATGATCTGTTACGCGTATAAATGCACGTGTTACTATAGAGAGAGAAGTATTTTTATCTTCATTTTTTGACGGTACATACATAAATAAAAGAAAAAGAAAAAGAAAAAGAAAACGCGCGCTAGCTTTTTATTGACAGCTCGTTGGATTTTGTTGGACGAAGGTTTGAGAAGTACATCAATACAAAAGGCAAAAAAAAAAGTGTTCCTAAATTGGAAAGCTTTTGTGATAGAGAACATATTTGTTGCCAGATTTTTTCTATTTTTTATATAGAAAAGGATTCGTTATGCTGTGTGAATTTTAGAGAATGTTGAATTCCTCATAATATTTTCTATTTTAACAAATAAAAATTTGTTAACTCAAAATCATTTGCGTAGAGTTCATAACATAATTCATCTCTTATAGCTAACACGCTTTTAAAGTCGGTCAGCCTTTTATTATAAATAGTGAATTTTTGGGTGATTTTTGTTTGTGAAACTACTCAAGTAATTTATAACTGGAACTGGTTGCTTATTGATATCGTGTTTCTTTCAATAAGAAGCTACGTAAATGTGACATATTAATGTTTGTATTACCTTTATATTTTTCTTTTAATTAAAAAGATAAATAGTGAACTTTTTTCAAATAATTAACTTGACCGCGTGTGGCCCCATCTGCCAGCGGGTTGGGCTTATGACATATTATTATGATGCGGTTTGTTGCAGTGGAGGAATATTAATGGTAATGAGAATGAAAATGATAATGGTAATAGAATATAAAATATAGTTAATTTATTTGTTTAATTGTAATTTTAAGAATATTATAAAATAGAATATAAATATTTTCATGTTGATAAAATTACCCTTATATTACATATAACACTAATATTATTATATATCAATATAATAATATATAAAATGTAATATAATATAATATAATTATTATTATATATTATATTATATAATTATGATATAGAATATAATAACATTATTAAAATGGTTAATATAATTATAATATTATAAAATATATTATAAGATTATGTAAGAAACAATAATATTATAACTATAATTTAAAATTACAACTATATTATATTATACTATACTATAATACATATAATTAATATTATATTATATTAAATAAATATATTATGTAGTTAGTGTAATACACTATAGTAGATAATAATATTAGAATTATAAAATTATATTAATATTTAATTATATTATTATATTATTATTAATATAATATACCATAATTATAATATCATATTATATAATAAAATAATAATATTAGAATTGTTAATATAATCATGATATTATTTGTTACAATATTACAATTATATTATATTATATCATATTATTGTATTATTATATTATATTGTATATTATATTGTAAGATTATTATATATTATATTATAAGATATAATTACATTATAATATATAATATATTATATTATATGACATATTATAAGCTATAATTACTATATAATATGTTGTAATTTTATTATAATATTTAAGGATAATTATGAAAAAAAAGAGCTTGGAATGACTATTCATTTTATGTGAGGAATGAATGATAATTCATTCAAAATGGTGAATGACCATTCATTTTTTATAAATGCAACCAAACATCATACTTAAATTCTATTATATTTTATTCATTTTTTTTCCATCCAACCAAGCACGCCCTAAATAGACTTCGGCTTAGCTTGAGAATAATCACTTATAACATGTACCCTAAAATTTCACACAAAAAAATAATAATAATAAGGACATGTACTCTTAAATTTCCATCCGTACCTAATCTCATAAATCGGTGTAAGGCATTATTATTTTAAGTTTCCTAGTTCCTACCCTTCTCAGTGCCTGAATTCGTGATGAGACCAGTCACTTGGTCATGTTGTGGGATCCACACCACACCCCAGGATTAATTAATAAATGATATATAATCTGTATAGCTTCTCGTTCAGTAAAAATAATAAGTTTTCATATAATTAAATTGAAAAATAATAAAACTAAAGATTCCTATATTATTTGTTTTACTAATAACTTTACCGAAAGGAGTTATTTTGTCTTTTACTACGAGCATTTGTATAATAAGTTAATGTGGTTAATAATCAGCTAACTATAGAAAAGGTCCAATATTTTCTTAATTTGGGATCAAAGGCTGGTTTTGTTACTATATATATATATATATATCTGATATATTTCTTTTAATGTTTCCTACTAAGATTTGGATTAAACATAGAGTTAATTTGATAAGTAATAAATGAGCTCCCCAAACTCTCGTTTCTTTGTTGTTTAGTGAAAGTTCAAGGCATGCAAAGAGGCCAGAGTTTTTGTGATTTGTTGCTCATTTAAGATTTCTTTAATTAATATAATACAATCAACAGACTTACTAGTTCCAATGACTGCATTTGGCTGCATATGAAAGTGAGAATAGAAGTACTCTTTGTTACCCCCGTTTTTTTTAACTAGAAAGCTTCATCGCATAGAAAATGGTGTTTTGTTTGTTTGTCAATTTTAAAATAAGTCTCAGTAGATGAAGTATAGAAAATGAACAAAAATGCATGATAGGCACTCATATGATAATTGGTTATATATAAAAACCTCATGGAACTATATATACTATAAACTTAGTTAACACGGTTTGCAATTTTTTGTTTAGTTCTAAGATCTACTAATTAAAAGAAATTATACCACACATCATGGCGGTACATAATATAATGAAGATTGATGGTGGCAGTATTAATATTGCATTTAACTAAAATTATATATATATATATATATATACACACACACACACACATATACATGTAATAGTTAGCAAACAATTATGTAATAAATTCTTTTTTCCCCCCCTTTTTTTTAAACACAAGTTGAATAATTGATAGCGTGCTATATATGCTACTCAGATGCAAGTTACATGCAAATGCAGTCTTAAGGCAACTTTCTCGTACTTTCTTAGCACAAAATACGTAGTTAATTAGCTTAATCAACTTGTTTCCAAAGGTTAATTGGGACTTGGAAGCAATTTTTATAAATAGTACTATTACCAGGCGGCTCAAGTTAATTAACGTATCGAAGGAAGGGCAACAAAGAAAAGACCATCAATCCAAACCCCATATATAACATTGATTGGAAAAATCCAAACACAGGGACAAATTGGTCATTTCCAATACATCCACTACATCCACTATACATTAGTATTTATATATCGTATGTGTACGGTTGTTTATCACCTATTCCAATCTATACATACATATATATATATATATATATGTATATATAACTCATTATTCTCGGTCTTCTCCATCGCATTGGACCAACCCCAAAGAGCACAGAAGGGAAAGAAATTAGAGCTAGTGAGAGAAAGAAGAGAAAGAGAGAGAAACACGAACAAAGCCTTAAAAGCTAGCTTTACAGAGAGAGATAAAAGAGATCATCAGATCAATATAAGAACTGCTGATCATCAAAATATCATTATATTACAAGAGATATGGGCAATAGTCTAAGGTGCTGTTTGGCTTGTGTTCTTCCTTGTGGAGCCCTAGACTTGATCCGCATAGTCCACTTGAACGGCTACGTCGAAGAGATAACACGTCCGGTCACCGCCGGCGAGATCCTACAGGCAAACCCTAATCACGTCCTCAGCAAACCCTGCTCCCAGGGCGTCGTTCGCCGGATTTTGATCCTCTCGCCGGAGTCCGAGCTCAAGAGGGGAAGCATCTACTTCTTGATCCCGGCTTCTTCGGTGCCGGAGAAGAAGAAGTCCGGTACCGGCCTTAAGAAGTCCTCCAGATCAATTAAGAGCAAAAAGTGTACCATTACTACTAGCTCTTCAGATTGTGATCGTTACTTGTCGGAAATTATCTCCGAGAAGAAGTCCTCATCGCGCCGCGATCGCCACCGGAGCGGCCGAGTCGGCGTATGGAGGCCTCATCTCGAGAGCATCTCCGAAGACTAACTTTTTTTCCGGCGCCGGAATCTGATAATTTCCCGGTGATGACCAGAAGTGGTTCAATCATGCAACATATGGGGCCGGTTTTTTTTTTTCTCCTTTTTTTTTTAATCCCTTCTTTGTTAAAAATGTACGTGGGGTTATATAATTCGGTTTTGTGGATAAATATTTTTATTTTCACTCTTGTTTCATTTTTCCCCCTCTTTTCTTTTGTTTTTGGTTCGATCTGCGAGTAATAATGGCAGATTCGGAATTTCCACTGTTCATGAGATGATCATCATCAGGAATAACAGCACTATCACAGAGAGAAAACGCCAGAGCAAGAAGAAAAAAAAAATGGTTGTATAAAAAATACGTTTGTATTTACACCTGAAGTTGTAAGTAAATATGTTTTTCTTCTCGTTGTGACCACTTTCTATAGTCTCATGTTTCTGGGTGGGATAAGAAATTTGCCGAAAAGTCGTTTGATATTTCACTTTTTTTTGGTATTTTCTGGGATTTATTAATTTATATTTGGGCAAGATTGAAATTTTCACTGTGTTTTAGTTTGGCATTTTGGAATAAGAAATGTATTTCTAGAAATATATATGAACGAAAAAAAAAAACCAAACCTGATTTAGTCTTTACTGTTTCGACCAATATTAATTAGATCGGTCTATATATGTTATATATGGTACATGCAGCAAAATACTAATTATCAAATTGTTCAACAAAAAAAAATACTGAACAAATTAAAAGGGTTCTAAAAGAAAATAAATTATTTCTGAACCCTTTTTTTATGCCATTTGGAATGAGGTTTCGCATCAATTTATGATAATTACATGATTGCCTCAAAGTACTCCAAAAGATCTACCCTCATTTTCTCCAAGGTCAGATCCACTTAATGATCAACAATAATAATTAGAACTAGCATAATGTTCTAGTTTTTACCATTGACAATAATTTTTAATTGTGCAACCAATTGACCATTTTTCTATTGGAATATTGGGTGAAAAGCAGTTCATGGGTTTCATAGAAAATGTTTGTGTAGTATGATTGGAGCAAACGTGTCATACCACTTATAGTGCATGATTAGAGAGTCGTGATAAATGGAATCAAGCACATTTGGTTCATCTTGTAGTATGGATATTTAATTTATAGCTGACTACGACTTTTTGTATTTCATTGTATATATATTCATTCATGTTAAGAAACATAGAAATGTCTTTCTGATGAACTGAAAAATGCTAATTGACATATACCGGTTATAACAACTTCTGAAAAATACATATAGGTAATTAGCTACAAATATAATATATATTCTTAAGGTTCATATATAATTATATTAGCTGCTTATACATTTATTTTTTAAGTTGTCTTCAAAGGGTACTAATTAAACTATTTAATAATCAAGAAACTCAAAATTACGATGACTTTCTCCATCTATCATAGTGCGGAAACATGGTTTGAGGGGTTGAGTAAACTAATCAACACATAAAATATTGCTCAAGTTCTAAACATGCGTATATAAAACAATTTTACCATGTATACGAGTCTTTATTTTTGGGAGAGAGTGGAGAGATTTATAGCGTTGGCGTTTGTATATATATCGACAAAAACTACAAGCTCTTCATACGACCACAATATATAATTTTATAGGTTGTACTTATATTATCTTATTTAGCATAAATCCAAAAGTTCTCAAATAGCGACACCTTCACGCTACATAGAATTAAATGTAAACAACCTGGCAAATCTTCTTAAACATATTTCTTATAACTCGGTTCTCGCATGGATTCTCTCCTCCTCCTCCTCCTCCTTCTCCCACATTCATACACATTATTATATATTAAAAATATTATTGTTTAACTTTTGCACCACAAGCCCCTACATCGGTTATAGCTAAATAGTAGATCGTAGATTTCCATTTTCCGAGCTTGAAATAATATTTACATATATTTTCTTAAATCATGTTTTCAGAAATAATTATCACATGGTAATTTCACTAACCTATATCAACATTGCGGTGGCATTCTTTCATTGATTGAATTCGAAAATGTGTAAAATTAATAAGTGGTATAATTTTAAGGAAAACCGAACTTTAACTATTAAGCCTAGTTAATTATATTCACTAGACTAGATAATTACTGACCTATTAAAATAGTAAGATGGCAGATCCCAATGAACTAAGGCACGCATTGAGCCTTGAGAAGCATTGGTTAAGGACAAAGAGGATCTGAGTTCACGTGTCCAACTCCAGTGTCCGGAGGAGAACTTGGCTGAATCTCTCTAGATTGGAGACATGATATAGTCTTTTGGATGACTTCTTGTATAAATATACATTTTCATAGGGTATTCGGAGGTGACTTTCAATGTCCATTGGTCAATTTTGAGTCAGTATTACAATGTCCCAAAATTAACTTAAATATATGCAGGCTCTCCAAATCATGACAATCTTAAATTTTCAATTAGGAGATAATTTTCGGAAAGGTGAAGCATATGATTATTAACATCATTACTAAAATGGTTAATGGTAAAATTAAACTCGTGTATAAGGTCCAAATATATGTGAAAAGGGAATAACATTTCTACTATTAGGTATATTGGAACCATGTGGTTAGTTTCAGAGCCACAATTTTCTTATGGGTATAATCAAGATTTTAACTAAAAGTACAATGTAACAAACTTTCTTATTTGTTTATGTGTTTGTATTTACTTATAAAATATTTTTATCCTTTTCTTCTTCTAAATGAACTAAACTTGTAATATAGCTTAATTCATGTAATTATTGTCATTAAAAATATTACAGACGGACAAACTAGAAAAAAATTTATAATGAGGGCAAAAGTGCAAAGAGCCCTCAGTCCATGGCCTAATCTAGCTCCGCCCTTACGTGTGTGCTTAATTATTGGAAGCCTCTGACCCATCCTGGCTGTCCCTGTTCCCTAGCTAGCTATTTGTTGTTGAGAACTCAACATCATTAAATTGTAGTGCATGCCCTGTGTGCCATCTAGATCAAGTCAAGCTAGCTATAGCTACTACTTTATTTTTATTTGAATTATTCTCAATTTTGTTTTTTTTTTTGGCTGAGTAAGATGAGGAATGGAGAAAATAAAATAGAACAATCACACGGTAGTATGATTGAACGGGTATCTTTTCTTGTTAGCATTCACAATTAATTATAGGACCTGGCTCGTTTTGTCATTTTAATGGCTGATATTGCACGCACTTCTTTGATTGGTGACCTTCTTTTTTTCTTCTTCTTCTTTCTTCACCCAATTAATGGCTAAAGCCGTACAACACTCGTGTTTGTTCTTTTCCTCCATAATTTCGGGGTTTTAGTTGATCTACTATATATATACATATATATATATATATCCATATCCATGCATGAATATATGGGGGAGGGCCCCTTCGAACGTGGGTTCAAGTTCTCTACAGATACTACAATCATTGCTCAGTCATTTATGAATTCCTGTGCTGTATTAGACACATTTTAGGAGTCATAGGTGGAAAAACCATAATTTCAAATTTCATCTCTCCATTATCTCTAGCTTACTTCTTAGACTAAAAATAACTTTTTTAACGTGTTAATTAATGAAATACTAATGATCAGTTTTATAAATAAAGCTCTTTTCCGGATCAATATATGCAGATCATCTTGAAATAGTATGCGGAAAATAATTATAAGAAGTAATTATTTTAGAGTTTTAAATAAACATGTATATTCATAATTTATTATCTTGTTATTAATGAATGGCAAAAGGAAAAATTTTACAAACTATGCCAATATAGGCTTCTGAAATATTTTCAGCGTTGCATTTGTGTATGATCTACAGGTTTACTTTCAAGATATATGGGGAACACTAATACTAATTAGCTAATGTGCTACTCTAATAGATATATACTATTACACGAAGTAATTACGAGTGGCATATCCTTTCCTCTATAGAAAGAAAAAGAAAAAAAAAAAAAAACGTATAACTACAAAGCTCTTTTGCAATGAGCAGTTCTAATGAAAAAAAAAAAAAAAAAAAAAAAAAAAAAAAGAAGAAGAAGAAGAAAGAGCCATTTTAGACCCTGGGAATAAATATTGCTCATAAATTAATGCTAATATTATACATCCATAATCTATTAACCAGAAAGATGATCAGATTATAACATGTGTGTATATATATAAATATAATGTCTGCAAAAATTAGTATACTTAAAAAATCAAAAGAAAAAAAATCAAATGTCCTCGTATTAATAATATGATAATAGTGATCATACAAATACACCATAATATCGTGCAGGTGAAAAAAGAGTACATATTTGATCAGATTATTCGTCTATATATATGATACATACAAACCGTCTACACCTGATCTCTGGATTTTCTGTTTGTTTCCATAGAAACTGGGACTGGCCGTGGCCTGGTCACTTTACTACCCAAGTTATTATGATGATGACTGGGCACTACATCGACCTGAACAGAGACGGCGCTATTCATCATCATCATAACATGATACTTGGGGCTATCTGGATCTTTGACCCCTTCAAAGGCGTGTTGTTGAACCACCAACAGCGAGAACTCGCTATTAGTATCCCCCGACGCCAGCACGTCCCCTATTGATCCCAGCTCCGGGTATTCGTTCCACTCCGTCAGCCCCGCAAAGAGCGGCGACTCGCTAAAATGCCGTCTCCCGACTAAAATCAGGTTGTACGACTGATTCTCCATCGACCGGATCACGTTTATCATCTCCAAGCTGTTCTTCACCGCCTTTTCCTTGTAGAAATGCTTCTTTTTAGTACTAGTATTGCTGCTGCTCTTGAGAAAAGCCTTGAATTTGTCCACCATGTCCAAATCATTCTGCGAAGGCTCCACGTAACTGTCGACCAACCGGATGACCGTTACGCAGACGTTAGCCTTTCCCGCCATCCGCATTGCGTACGCCAAAGCTTCCCGGTCGTCCGGTCCCTCGATGAATATGACCCCGACGGAGTAAGTTCCCTTGGAGGACAAGTAATTGACGGCCGCGCTGCTGCTGCTGCTGCCGCGGTCGACCAGGATGCCGACGGAGCAGGGCGTGTTTCTGAGGATGTTGAGGTTGACAGCCCTGAGGGCCTCGTGGTTATTAGCGGTGGCGGCTGCGCCGTGTTGTGACCAGTACTGCTTGTGGAAGGGAACGATGACGATGCAGGCCCGCTTCTCAAAGGCAAGGGAGCAGACGTCGTTGTGCATGCTGGCGCAGGGGGCCATGGCGGTGATGGGTGACATCATGACCTTGCCAGAATTGTGGTGCTCGAAGAGGCGGAAGGCGTGGATGATGCGGTCGGAGAGGGTGGAGTGGAAGGAGGTTCGGCGGCCAGGACGGTGAGTTATAAGGAGCGGGGTAGAGCGGCCGGCCAGCGGGATGAGGTGGACGACGTAGAAGCAGAGGGGGCTGGTGGTTGTGGGGTTGGAGATGTCGAGGAGGCGGATGAGGGACGGGGTGTTGTCGTGGTGGTGGACGCAGGCGAGGAGGCGGAGCTCGGAGTCGTGGGAGGAGGCGTGCTCGATGGTTCTTCTCTTGGTGGTGGCATAACGCTTGGAAGGGTTGTAGAGCTTCTTCACTATGGGTGTTACTGTTCCAGTTAGTACCACGGTTGATATCACCATGATGCTATAGGATTTTTGGTCGATCAGCTGCATTCAACGGATCATGGTTACAAATACAAAACTTGATTATTATAGTTAGCTAGGTAGGTACATAAAATGAATGTTAGAATGTTAATATATACATACCATGCAAGTTAAATTTCCAGTGATCGTGACTACTTATTTGTAATTGGTCAACATTTCATGTTGATTCTAAGACTCGCGTGTAATTACACTTCTGATCTGTTATAAGTTTACAGAATAATCCTTCTCGAATTAGAAGTGATAATCACTACTCTGATATATTTGGCATTTTTCTTTTGAAAATTCAGAAGGATTAGTACGAGATAATAATGGAAAACAAATCGTGGAACAATGAGATGTTGTACATTTGTATCTTCGTTACTAGAAGGGTTCATATGTGATTTTTTTACTTTTCAAGCTCCTTGATGTTTTTCTTACTTTTGATTGAAACTATTTGACCATGGATATTGTTGAAGTGTTAATAACATTCCTGAAATTCTTAATTACTAAGCAAAACTAACCAAGCATACAACTAAGCTTGAGCTGTACAGTATAAGTAAGCTAGATAGCAAGCAGCTGCATCATTCTTCCAATCATATGCATCTATGTGAGTTACCAGCATAAAGCTTTGTCATCCAGCCAATGAAAATCAAGCACTAGCATCACCCAACCAATCATATGAATTCAAGACTCAAAAAGTAAGGAAGCAAGCACATTGCCGATTAGAGTTTTACCGACTTAGGAAATCTATATATAGGCTGTGTTGCACTTCTTTTTAAAAAAAATAATAATAATAATAAAAAAATCATTTGTAAAGAGCTCTGTTCGATTATTGTTGGGCATTCTTCTAGTCACTATGGCGGCACAAATACAATCGATGATGCATGTTCCAATTCCCATTTTCAATGGCGAGCACTATGATTACTGGAGTATAAAAATGAGGACATACTTCCAGTACGAAGATTTGTGGGATATAATAAGCGAAGAGCATAACGTGTTTCGTGAAGATTTGTCAACACTTTCTGCAGCCCAAAAGAAGGAATTAAAGGGGAATCAACAAAAGAATACGAAGGCCTTATTTACTCTGCAACAAGCAGTTTCCATGGAGATTTTTCCCAGAATTTCAGAAGCCAAAACTGCAAGAGAAGCATGGGATATCTTGTAGGAGGAGTTCCATGGCAGTGAAAAGGTACACACTATTAAGCTGCAATCTCTTAGACGTGCTCTAGAAAATATTACAATGAAGGAATTTGAGACAGCTAGAGAGTATTACTCAAGAATTAAGGAGCTAGTCAATAAATTGAGAGGTTATGGGGAGAATGTTTCTGACGAAAAAATTGTTCAAAAAATATTGATTAGTCTGACAAGTTTAAGCAAATAGTAACTGTCAGTGAAGAAACCAAGGATATAACCAAGTTATCAGTTACTGAATTAATGGGCTCATTAGAAGCTTTTGAGAAAAGAGAGGATGATGGAGAAGAAAATGAAGATTCAACATTAGAAAGTGCATTTCAATCTAAGCTGAATATGAAGTCTCAGAATTTTAAGAATAATTGGGAAAAATCTAGACAAAATTCTAGACGAGGAGAAAGCTCTAGAAGTAATGGAAATCAGAGGGAGAAAATTGACCAGAGGAAAAATCCAAAATATCCACCATGTGGCATCTGCAAAAGATCTAGTCACTTAGAGAAAGAACGTTAGTTTCGGAATAAACCACAATGCAGAAATTGTAAGAAATTTGGGCACGTAGAAAAGTTCTGTCGGCTGAAAGGAAGTCATCGGGCTAATTTTTCTGAAGATTATGAGGATCAATCAACTGTTATGTTCTATGCATCTCAAGCTAGTTCTAGTGAATAATGGAGCAAATGGTACATTGATAGCAGATGCAGCAACCACATGACTGGTGATGAAATTATATTCTGTGACATCGATACAACAAATAAATCTAAAGTGAGGTTGGGAAATGGTGCTCTAGGGGAGGCAAAAGGTAGAGGGACAATCTCTATCAACATGAAGAAAGGCACGAGACACATTCAAAATGTTCTGCTACTTCCCAGCCTAGAGCAGAACTTGCTCAGTGTGGTCAAATGATTCAAAATGGGTATTCTGTACACTTTGAAGGGGACACCTGCAGAATTTATGACAACAAAAACAAGAATGCTATAATTACTGCTGTGAAGATGGAAAATAGAAGCTTTCCCATCCAGTGGAGATATTCTAAAGAAGTTGCTATGAAGACACAAGAAGATGACTCATGGCTTTGGCATCGCAGATTCGGCCACTTCAACTTTCAAGGCTTGAAGATTCTATCAGAAGAATATGATGAAAGGCATGCCACGCATCAGAGATAAAGATGACGTATGTGAAGCTTGTCTACTCGGCAAACAACATCGTCAACCATTTCCTTCAAACAAAGCCTGGAGAGCTAAAGGATTGCTAGAGTTGGTTCATACCGACGTCTGCGGCCCAACGAGAACTCCTACTCCAAGTCAAAATAGGTACTTTATTCTCTTCATTGATTATTATACAAGAATGATGTGGGTGTATTTTTTCAAAGAAAGATCACAAGTTTTTGAAATTTTCAAAAAATTCAAAAACTATATTGAGAAGCAAAGTGGTCGTCAAATTAAAATACTAAGAAGCAATAGAGGCGCCAAATACAACTCTAGACAGTTCAACAAGTTTTGCGAAGATGAAGGAGTAGAACGTCAGTTTACTGTGGGTACGCTCCTAAACAAAGTGGAGTTTCAAAAAGGAAGAACAGAACAGTTATAGAGATGGCTAATACAATGCTAAAAGAGAAGAGACTTCCAAAATCATTTTGGAGAGAAGCAGTTTCTACAACAGTCTACTTGTTGAATCGTTGTCTGACTAAAGCCGTTCGAAACAGAACTCCAGTTGAAGCTTGGAGCGGACGCAAGCCTTCTGCAAAACACCTTAAAGTCTTTGGTTGTGTGTGTTATGAGCACATTCCAAAAGAAAAGAGGAGAAAGCTGGATGATAAAACACAAAAAGGAATTTTCATGGGCTACAGTTCTTAATCAAAAGGTTATCGAGTTTACATTATCAAAGACAAGAAACTAGTTATCAGTTGAGACGCAGAGTTCAATAAAATGCTGCTTGGAATTGAGAAAAAGGAAAAGTTGACAACACTAATGTTCCAGTTTTGTTACAACCATCAACTTCTACACAAAGGCAAACTGTTGAAATACACAAAATATTTTCAAAAGATTAGTCAACTTTCCAGTTTTATGTTTGATGTAAATAGGCATATTTGTTTCCTTCTTTCTTTCACATAGAATAGTCAAAGATTGTGAATTAGGAAAGTTAGATGTATTTTATTCTTTCCTGTTTTCTTTCTCTTGTATTCGGCTATTTATAGCTTGTAAATTTCAGTGATCAATAAAAAAGTTTCGAACCATTCTTTCTTCATGGTATCAGAGCCAATATTTGGCCTTCTTCGTTTCAGCCTCCATGACTGAAATTATTTTTTCGTGATCACTGACACTTTTTCTTTTCCTTCTCTTTGCTATTCACCATGTCCGAAACAACCTCTGAATCTTCTTCAATTTCTTCTACGAAAACCAATCAAACCCGACTGTTGCACCATGTCTCCCATTCGGTGTAAATCACCACCATTCGTCTTAATGAGGGAAATTTCTTGCGTTGGTCCCAATCCGTTCGAATGTACATCCGGGGAAGAGGAAAGATAGGTTACTTGACAAGTGAAACTCAAGCTCCTAAGAATACTAATCCGGCATATGCAACATGGGATGCAGAAAACTCGATGATTATGGCTTGGTTGGTGAACTCCATGGACGAGGAAATCAATGCAAATTACATGTGCTATTCTACTGCAAAAGAACTATGGGACAGTGTGGTTGAAATGTATTCAGACCTTGGTAATTATTCACAAATGTTTGAACTCCAACAGAAGATTGAAGAGGCTCGGCAAGGAGAAGGGAGTGTGACCAGGTATTTTAATATCCTTAAGGGTCTTTGGCAGGACTTAGATTTGTTTAATGATTATGAATGGAAAAGTCCAAAGGATTGTAACCATCATAAGAAAACTGTAGAGAATGGTAGAGTTTTTAAGTTTTTGGCAGGTCTTAATGTCGAGTTTGATGAAGTAAGGGGGAGAATCCTTGGAAGAAAGCCTCTTCCCTCCATTGGAGAAGTTTTCTCAGAAGTCAGAAGGGAGGAGACCAGGCGTCATGTCATGCTGGGAAAAAAAGGGGTTGTTAACCCAACTGAATCAACTGCTCTCGCTGCGGAAGAATCCAAAACCCCAGCCGGAAATCAAGCTGCGAACAAGTCATCATACAACCAAAACCAGCGGTGGTTCGATGAAAAATCTCGAGCATGGTGTGATTATTGCAACAAACCACGTCATACCCGAGAAACTTGCTGGAAGCTTCATGGAAAACCAGCAAATTTGAAAGGCAGCAGGCCCGGGGAAAAAACCAGCCATGCAGCTTCCTCAACCAATGCAGCCGAGACATTCAGCAAAGAGCAAATTGATTTCCTCTTAAAACTGCTAAAATCTAATTCATCCTCCTCTGGTACTCCTAATGTTTCCTTGGCCCAAACAGGTAGTGATTTTAGTGTTTTTTCTTATTGCACAAGTTTCAATTCCTCTCCTTGGATCATTGATTCAGGAGCTACCGATCGCATGACCAGTGTCTCACACTTATTCACTACATATTTTCCTTGTTCTGGTAATGAAAAAATTCGAATTGCAGACGGTAGTTTCTCATCTATTGCTGGGAAAGGCTCTATTAAACTCTTAAGAAATATAGACCTTAAGGCTGTACTTCATGTTCCTAAACTTGCCTGCAATCTTTTGTCTATCAGTAAAATATCTAAAGATTCTAACTGTCGTGTTGTATTCTTTGACTCTTGTTGTGAATTTCAGGATCGGAACTCGGGGAAGATGATTGGCAGTGCTAGGATGAGAGATGGGCTTTATTACTTCGATGAATAATTCTCCAGTAATAAAAAGGCTCAAGGTCTTAGTAGTATTA